ATCTCTCAAGGAGGCAATGACAGCTTCCTTTTCATTTAAAATCTCCAAGTAGGAAATCTTCTCTGCAAGAAGTTGATCATTTTCTAGCTGCAGCTTTGTCATGCAGGATTTTTCCTCATGAAGATCAAGTTGAATGGAATTCTTGTGACATGCTTCTTCCTTAACCAGCTTCTGCAATTGCTGCTGCTGCTTCCTTAATTCTTCTTTTTCATTGTATAGCATCTGAATCAAATTATTCTTTTTTATGCAGGATGCTATTACAGCATGGATCTTTTGATGCTCTCCTTTCTTTGTCCAATATTTAGCAGCATTATTGATCTCCATCATGTACTCTTTGGTAAGCTGTATATCATCCTCCTTGTATTCTGGGATTGATCTAACAACTTCCTCAAACGTTGAATTCTTGAATTTTGGGATTTCAGTTTGTAGCTGGTGGTGTTGGTGGACTTCATGTTCTTGGTTCTCATCATCCTCTTCTTCATTTTCTTCTTCAGCAACATCATCATGCTCTTCATCCACTTCTTCAGCAGCATCATCCTCCTCTTCATTTTCTTCTTGAGCAGCATCATCATGCTCTTCATTCACTTCTTCAGCAGCATCCTCCTCCTCTTGAACTTTAGTGCTTTTTATCTGTTTGTTAAGTAGAGTTTAGTATTAACAGTGTACTTCTATTACATGGTATTAAGAGTGTACTTCTATGACATGGTATTAATAGTTTACTTCTGTGACATGGTATTAATAGTTAGCTTCTATGACATGGTATTAATAATGTACGTCTATGACATGTTATTAACAATGTTGTCATACCAGCTGCAGATTATACTGCACAATTTTTTGTTTGCAATATCACTTGTCAATTCATATCATTAGAATAATGCTACGAATTTGCAGTGTGGAGATTTGTGTTCTTACCAGTATTAGGACTAGGCAGCCACTCACGCTTGGCTGCTTTTTTTTGTCCTTCTTGTTCTTCTTTGCTTGTTCCAATCCAAAATACATGTAGTCCAAAACTCCTTGAGCCCAATTATATTTCCCCATCTCTTCTAAGGTGTCTATTGTGGTTGTGTATGTCCAAGCAAGTGTACAACCAGAGTTGCAGAATAGATTGGTCATGAAGAGTTGTAGGATTACCAATCTTGTTACATCCATCGGACCCTCTTTTGTTTCATCTTCAAGTGCTAAGTTCAAGCACTTATCAATTGAAGTCTTTGTTATCTTCTTATAACCGCTGAAGTATTTCTTCACAAAATGCAAATTTGGCCTTGTTGAGCTTGTCGTGCTTGGTAGCTTGTTGCCTCTGTCTGGCAAGCCAAAAATTTCAGCCACATCTTGGCTTTTCATCTCACTGTGACCATCATTAAACTTGAACTTCCTTGTCTTTGTGTCATAGTCTTTAATGAGTCTCACGATGTCGTAGTTAGACTTCATGCACTCGACCTTTGTCAACCTTTTCTGCGTATATGCTTCTATTAGTGGCCAGAAAGGTGTCTTCGATAGCAGTGTCTTGACATCGTTCCAGTTTTCAAGTTTTTCTCTAATGTTGTCAATTGTTGCTGCAAAAGAGAGCATGTTGCTCTTGATTTGCACATAGTTGGGGTCGTCCCATCTGCCCGGCTTCTTGTTTCTTTTTGTTTTGGATGATGACTGTTGTCCTTTCTTCATTATTTATTTGGTATACCTGCATTAGAAATAGCAACATGATAGGCATTAATGAACATGACAGTAAAGTAGCAGTGTTAATACCCTATATTGGAACTTTACAGCGGTAGAAATGCATCAGACATAGGATTACATAAGAAACAATCAGTGTTATTACCGTATACTGGAACTATACAGTGTTAGACATGCATTACAAATAGAATTTCATAGGAAACAAGCGGTATTAATACCCTATACTGGAACTTTACAGTGATAGACATGCATCAGAAATAGGATTTTCAGAGGAATGAACAAGCAGTGTTAATACCCTATACTGGAACTTTACAGTGGTAGACATGCAGCAGAAATAGGATTTTCAGAGGAATGAACAAGCAGTGTTATTACCCTATATTGGAACTTTACAGCCATTAATCAGAATGACAGTAAACTAGCGACTAAAATCCTGATAATAAGCAGTCTAGTTTCAAGATTTTGTCCTTGATTCAAATCTAAAATACTGTTATTACCCTGGACTGGAACTCTAGCAATTAATCAAAATTACAGTATAGGTTTGTAAATGTCTTACCTTTGAAGCGCTTTCTCGTCGAAAATGTTCTATGAATTTTTGTCTTGGTTTTGAAGGTGGAGGTCAGTGTGGTTTTCGAAAGTAGATAAAGCAGCTCGGTGGTGGTTGTGGAGTTTCGGTTCTGGAGCGATGAAGAAGACGCATTGATGAAGACGGTGACTGAAGGGACGTTTCGCAGAGGGAAGTTGGGTGCTGGAAGTTACTTTTTTGTTTTCAATTTTTTTGAACTATATTACTGTTTTGAGATGGTAAAATATTTGGGCTTGTTTATAAGTTTGGGCTGGGGTTTTTTTGGGTGCGTTTTGAGTTTTTTTTTCTGTTGGGCTTGTTTATAAGTTTGGGCTGGGGTTGTTTTGGGTGCTTTTTGAGTTTTTTTTTCTGTTGGGCTTTATAATGGCAGTTCTTGTAATATATTGGAACTTCAATACTAATTTGTTATTTAATAAATGGGTTTTGGGTGTGTTTATGAAGTGATTTTCATATGGGGTTTTTTTATAATTTCAGCTCCCATTTTGGGTATATTAGTGAAGCTCCCTATAATTTATAATAGCCTCTCTGCACGCGCTTCTGCGTGTGTGAGAGACCTTTTTTTTAATTACGCGCGCTACACGCGACTTACAAAATTTCGTAAATATTTTTTTGCAATTGTATTTTTTCGCAAACGGACATCTATATAAATACAATTGCAAAGAGGCTGGTCATAAATTAAATAAAATCTATTACTTATATATCGTGTCTCTTGACTTCAGAAGAGTTCATTTTACTTTACATCATGTATTTCTTAAAGGGAGAAAAAAAAAAAAGAGATAATCGGGTCCCAGTGTGTTATTAATATTTTGTGTGTGAATGTAATTCTATTTAAATAAATTGAAAAGCATTCAAATAGAGTGGAAAGCTACGAGCCGAAGAAAACCTAACAACAACAAAACAAAAAGACAAAAGGCCCAAACATGAAAACACACAACAGGCAAAGTGAAGGCCCAATTACATAAGTAATAACAAAAAACACAGAAAATAGAAAACCGTAGGTATGGGAATGAACCAGCCTCGCCACACAGAGAACACCGACCACAACACCATTGTATGGGAGTTTTGGCAAGTGCTGCTGTTTTAACCAGCATTGGGATGTTGGTCTACTTAAAGCGCGCTAACCTGTAATGTTATCCTGATTGTTCAAAGGAAGCACATACTAGGATCAATCAGAAAAAGGTTACTCAAGAGCCATGCCCTGCCCTTCCATGCCAACCCTAGTAGATTATCTCATTGGCGGAGGTTTAATGAAACTGAACGTATTGGATTCAGATCACCAGCAGCAGCAACTAGTGTTCTGTAACAGAAACGGAAAGTAATATATTGTAGGTTACACAGAGTTGCAAGAAGGTGATGACTGGTCCACTGTTACATTCTTTTTGTTTCTGATATTACTGTGGAAGGGATTTGCGTCTTCTTTGCAAGTGAGAGAAAATGCAGAACTTGGTTCCGGGCAATGTGTAAAGTTTCTTTTGCTAAAACAACAAAAAGAAATGGAAAAAATAAAATAAAATAATTTGACTTCCGGCAATGTGTAGAATTCAATTCAAGGTTGCGATCCTTAGCAATTAAATTCTTTGGCCAAAAAAAAACAGGAAAATTCAATCTTAAATCAGTCCCGTCAACGGAATTCTTTGGCAACCAATCACAATCAACGAGGGTGGGAAAAACAATTGAAGAAAAGATTAAATAAAAAACTTTTAAGATGCCCGAAACACCCCTCCACAGCTAATTGTTCATCCACAACACTCGATTGATTAGTGGGAACAAATGCATCATGGCTCCGTCCTGCTCCATCATCCGCCACGGCCAAAAGGATCGTCTTCCACTGCTGATTCGCTTGAAATTGCCCCTTTGCTCAACTGGTGTACAGATTACCTTATTTCCATCTTCAACATTTAAGTAAATGTCTTTGTCATTTTACTTTTATTTATTTTTATATTACTCCATTTACTTAAGTTTACAATGTAAATAAGGAAGTACCCCCCATTTGGATTCAAATAAAAATACTAGAAAATCAAATTCCCACCAAATCAAAATATGAAAATTCGGTTTTAGTGCAAAATACGATTTATGCTAAAAATGATGGCTCATTAAGTCAATATATACTTCATTCTAAAATCCCATAAAATCAAGTTTTCTTATTTGATGTGTAAGGAACAAAAACCGCCAAAAATTATCTTGAGAAAATGATTATTCCGAAAAACCATTTTTCATACTTAGTCAATATTGCACCTCCGCTAAAAAATTTCTGGGTCCGCCAGTGGCCAAAAGGAACGTCTTCCACTGCTGATTCTTCAACTATAGCACTCATTTGATCACCGGGAACAGATATGTCATGGTTCCGTCCTGCCTCATTATCAGTTCCCCAAAAAAATCCAGGTATGGTTCCACTGCTAACTGTTCATGTATAACACTGCCCCTGAAAAATGCGTCATCTACTCCCCCCGAAAAATCCCGATTTGTTTCCAAATCATACAAATGAGGATCCGAATTATCCATATTTTCCCTCATGACTTTGTAAACCGTTAGTGAGTTAGGTGTGCGAGGCACGTGAGTTGTTAGTGGTGAGTTATACAGCTATATAAAGTGTAATAGTGCTGTAGCTTAAAAGATTAAGAAATACAGAAATCAAGATTGCAATCTCTCTATTTCTCTCTCTTTCCTTCTTCTTCAGGTCTCTTCCTCATACTTCTCTGAATATGTTGGTATCAGCGCCCTCAGTGGTTTAAACATAATCAAACGATCATATCCTCCTCTTTGATTTTCTTCCCTTGTTCTCTCTGTTTCTTGAAATGGAGTCATCAACTCCCCCGGAAAAATCCCCATTTGTTTCCAAAACATACAAGTGAGGATCTGGATTATCCATATTTTCCTTCATGAGTTTGTCCCATTCTAGATGAACCCCTGTCTTCTTCACTCTCACAAAATCAACATCATCAGGCCTTACAAGAATGCAGACTCGGTCCCTGCCTTGCAAACAGAGCACATCGTTTGACAATTGTCCCTGCCAAAGATAACCGTCTTCAGGTTTACTCCAAGTTTTTACCGAGCCAAATGCTATCCGGGTGTGCAAAGCAGTTTGTTTGGTAAGATTTCTAACGATAATGACAATACCACGGTTAGAATCTTCAAGTTCTGGGTTGTCTGAAGAGTAAACGAAGCATATAGTCAACCCTTTTAAATCACGACGCATGATTCTTTGAGGAACTTCAAAAAAGACGATATTGTCCACATCATTGACGATTTTGAACCACTCAGGAATATCATAAATTCCATTCAAATAAATTCCACCAAATCCGCAAGAAGTCCATCCCTATATCATGTAGAGCAAGATTTGTATAAGCATTACGTTCTTATTCAAGTGCACGTGCGTACATCACGTGCGTCTATGTGTGATAGAGAGAGAGAGATTGACCTGTAGGATGTTATTCCTAAAATCGGCAGTCAGATTGGTGCAGCGTTCCATATGAATCCTTGTCATGGAGTTTAATGACTTATCCAAGCCTGGAACCTCAGTGAGTTTGACCGAATCACTTAGATACAATTCTCTCATATTCGACATTTTTGAAAAATCTGGAATTGTTTCCAATTTTGGGCAGCCAATTGCTTTCAGAACATACAAATTGGTTGGTAAATCTGGGATTGCACAAAGTTTTCTGCATGCATTTAAACACAAGACCTTGAGCTTTGAAAGACCAGCGAGACTTGGCAGGCTACGAAAATGATTGGCTTCAAGAAGCAGATCTTCTAAGGACATTAGGCTACATAGATCCTTAGGGATTGCATCCTCAGTTAACCCGCATTCTGCATCCAAAGTTGACATAACTCTATTAAATAGTTTAAGCCATGTAACGAAAGGGGTAAAAGATGGAATTTCAAAATTCTCACCAGATAGAGATAAAATTCTCAACTTCTTCAATTTTACTATGGAAGATGGAATTTGTCTGATGAGCGTGTTATCTGCTTTCAAAATTGTCAATGATACCATGTCCCCTAAGCCATCACCCAACTTTTCAAATCTCCAACAGCCATTAAGTAGAAGAGTTTCAATAGACTTGGATTTATAGAAATTCAGTGGGAGATCCTTTAGCATTTTGCAGTCTTCAAGATTTACCAAAGAAAGTCTTCCAAGATCCCCAATGGATGAGTGAACCTTAATTAACTCCTTACAACCTTTCAATATCAACTTCTCGAGATTTGGGAATTTTGAAAAGTACGGTGATTTTCTTATGTGATTATCATATTCGACATGAATGATGTCATCATCATTGACCAGATATGGGCGTCGTTCATACGCACAAAGATGGTAATCAATCATATTTTCGTTCATAAATTTGTCCCATACCAGACTAACACCTGTTTTCTTCACCTCCACCGAATCATATTTGGTTATTATTTCAATCAAGACTTTATCACCGTCTTGCAATTTGAGCTCGTCATTTGATAACTGTCCCTGCCAAAGATAGTAACCCTCAGTTCGACAACTGGAAATGGGTGTGATCCTGGCGTCAAGCTCAGTACCCTCGGTCATGTTTTTTATGCTAATGCTAATGCGACTACTGTAGAATGAGTCCGGAGAGTAAACGAAGGACAAAGTTAACCCTTTCAAATTACGACCAACACTTTGAGGCACAGTGAAATACACAATATCATCGTCATGGACACAGTGGAACCAATCAGGAATATCATTTCCACTGAGAAAAATGCCACCATATCCGCAAGAAGTCCATCCCTATACCATGTAGAGCCAAATTTCTATAAGAAATACATTCTTATGCATGCATGTGTACATGCGCGTTGTATGTGATAGAAAGAGAAACATGTATGTGTGTGTTTGAGAGAGAGAGAAGGATTGACCTGTAGGATGTTCTTCCTAAAATCGGCAGTGAGATTAGTGCACTTTTCCATATGAATCCTTGTCACGGAGTTTAATGACTTATCCAGGCCAGGAATCTCAGTGAGTTTGTACGAATCAGATAAATACAGCTCTCTTATACTTGACATTTCTGAAAAATCTGGCATTGTTTCCAATGCTGTGCAGCCAAACCCTCTCAGAACTTTTAGATTTGTCGGTAATTCTGGGATTGCACGAAGTTTTCTGCAGTCATTTAGACACAAATATTCCAGCTTTGAAAGACCACTTAGGCTTGGCAGTCTACAAAAAGAATTTTGTCCACAATCTAAATGTTCTAAGGAACTTAGGCTCCCAAGATCCTTAGGGAGTTCATCATCTGTTAAACTGCAGTCTGCAAGAGCTAATTTTCTTAAAGAGTTTAAGCCATCTAACAAAGGGGGCAAAAAACCAGTTGGTTGTGACCCTTCCAAACCACGAAGACCTGAAGATCTCAGGTAAGAATGGGGCAAAAAGCCAGTTAACCGTTCCAAACCACATAGAGATAAAGATCTCAGTTTCTTCAATTTTACTATGGAAGATGGTATTTTTGTTACAGCTGTATCGTCTGCTTCCAGAGTTCTCAATGATACCATGTCCCCTAAGCCCTCAGCCAAGTTTTCAAATCTTGAACAACCATTAAGTAGAAGAGTTTCAATAGACTTGGATGTATATAAATTCAGTGGGAGATCTTTAAGCATTTTGCAGTGTTCAAGATTTACCAAAGCAAGTCTTTTGAGACCACCAATGGATTCATGGACATCAGACAAACTCGTACATTCCAATATCAACTCCTCCAGATTTGGGACTTTTGAAAAGTCTGGTGATGTTGTTAGATCATGAGAATGACTCAGATTAATGATTGTCAACTTCTCAAGCAACTGTTACACAAAAACAAAATTAAAATGGAAATTAAAATCCAAAAAGGTCTGATAAAAACATATGCAAAAAGAAGAGAAAGTGAACATAATGTATGTATAAAACCAGACAGAAAAAACTAACAACTCGGTTGGGATTATTATACCTTGTAGGAGGAAGAGAAATACACAACACAAATAGACACTAATTTCTTGAGAGAGTATGCTATTTCTTTTTAATTCAGTTCAACGAATAACATTGATAAAATACCTATTTAAAAGACTTCTCTTATCATGACCTAAAACCCACTCTCACATCTTAATACTTTCTCATAATTAAAATAACTGATTGTTTATTTTTGAATGCAATAATAATGCACATTTGGTTTAGTTCTCCAACTTACCTTGCAATCCTTCCAAACTACTTTGAGTTTGCTAAACTGCAGGTCCATAGCAATTAGGCTTGTTAGATCAAAGTCACCTGGTATCGAATCTAGAAGGAATCCATGCCAGCACAACCATCTTAAATTTTTGGAAAGAAATTTGTACTCTCCGGTGAGCTCTACATAGTTGAGCTGGAGCAATTTCAGTTTTCTCATTTTGCTAAATGCTTCAGTACCGAAACTAGCCTTTTCCGAGCTTCGCAGATTTAGAGCAAGTCTTTCAACTTTTTTAGTTCCCTATTAAAAAAAAGGCACTCAGTAAGAACAACATTGTTGCCAAATGATTTACACACATGAAAATTGCATGTGTTAACCGAATTCTTTATCCACAGGTTTGTTAACAAAAGCTATAATAGTGCGTACACATGAAGTTTGGTTGGCAAAACATATAGTTTGATTGATTTTGCCTGACTGAGCCTTCTTAATGCAAGTTCAAACCAATAGAAAGAATTGGAAAATGAGACCGACTATATTACGTACACATGCAGGAAAACCGACCATGTTATACGCATATATACATAGGCTTCTCTTGTATGATGCGTGCTAAACTTTTATTTAAAAAGTACTTACAGATTTGTCTTCCAATACATCTGTCACATCTTCCCGGCGGAGCCACAATCTACTCCGGTCTTCTGGGTCACCTTCTTGACAGATTGCTCTGCCCATGTCTCGAAGTAGATCATGCATCATTAGCTGGTTCTTTTCATTAACAGTTACAAGGCACTTCTGAAGGAGGACACTGATTTTTATTTCTGCTTTAAAGCCACATCCATCTAATATTTTTCTGACATGGTCTTTGTTCATTCCAATGAAGAAACAAGATATATCAAGGAATATACACTTCTCGTTATGATCTAGACCGTCATAGCTTATTCTCAGTATTTTTAGAATATCTTTAGGAGTGATTCCTTCCAATTCCTCCAATTGGCTTTCCCACTCTGCTATGGTTCTTTCAACCAAGAAAGAGCCTAAAACTTTAAGTGCCAGTGGCAAACCTCGACTATAAAAAACTACCTTTTCTGAGAGTTCAAGATATTGTTCATTAGGATAACCTTTCTGAAAGGCATGCCAACAAAAGAGCTCAAGACCTTCATCTGGATTCATTTCTGGAACCGTGAAAGTTTTATTCACATGAAGTACGTCTAGAAAATGTTTATCTCTAGTAGTTATTATAATTCTACTTCCAGAGCCAAACCAATCACGATTTCCAACTAACGCTTCGAGTTGCTCCTTTTCATCTACATCGTCGATAATTACAAGTACCCTTTTACGTCCAAGTTTTTCTTTTATCATACCCATCCCTCCATGAACACAACTTATGTCAATGGTCCGTTTCTTGTAGATTTCAGCAAGAAGTAGTTTTTGCAAATAAACAAGACCATGTCTATTTGCAGCGTCCCTAATGTCTCCAAGGAAAACATGAGCTTCGAATTTTTCCTTAATTTGATTATAAATGGCCTTCGCAGCTGTTGTTTTGCCCAGTCCGCCCATCCCCCAAATTCCAATCATGACAACATCTTGTGATCCACCACCTAAAAGATAAGTAATCATATCATGTACACGAGAGTCGACTCCAACCGGGTGAGCGGCTACTGGTAGGGGAGTTGTGGAAAGCCGTCCGATAATATTATTCTCAATAAATGCCTCGATAAACTTTGCTTCATTCCTGAAAATTGAATTCGGAGCAAAACAAAAAACTAATTATGATGAAACATTAGATTTCTACTTCTTTGCATTTATGTTAGGTCTCAATTATCATTATTTGTAACATCCCGACCCAAAATATAACCTCCTGTTAATTAATTTAATTTAATAAAATATGAATTTCCAATTTGGCCCTCGAGTAGGGGCAAAATGGTCATTTTTATCCGAGAAGATTTTGGGACGACGAGTGGTATTTTTAGGAAGGTCGTACTGAGACGAGTCCGTAGACACGTAGTGAACTTGATTTGGAGTTGAAACGAAGAAGATACGAGATAAATAACCTCAGTGGCAAAACTGTAATTAAATTGAAATTTAATTTTAGGGGTTTTACCTAGGGTAGGAGTTTGCGGATCTCAATTCAGGTATCATTTGCACCTCGAACGAATTTGACATATTGTGCGATTTCCAGGTTTGATGTGTTTAAACCGTTGGATCATATCCAAATTTACGTATGTTATTCCTCGTATTCCTAGGATCGTATAGGAATTTGCGGATCGTGAATCGGAGCCCCGGATGTTCCGATTCATTAACTTAAACTTTGACTGCCGGTTGACCGAGCGTCTTCCGAGGCTACTCCATCGTTCGAAACTCTTAGTTAGACCTTAGGAACGTCTCGTTCCTCGTGCTTACTTGAAACCTGGGCAATTAGAATTTTAATTTACAGTTCTCGTTCGAAGCGTTTGATTTTAATATCGTGTTCGTATTCTGAAATAGGTAATCCGACTCCGCATACATAGCAGGTGGGACCCTCTCAGGGTGAAGCAGCGTGGGACTACTTGTGAGTGGACTTTGTTTTCTAATAAACAGCATGATTTTGTGATGGAAATTTTATGTATAAGAATTTAAGGATTTATGGAAATTCATTTTACACTTTATAATCGAAACAATTATTTTTATAAAGTATTGGTGATATATTTGGGTTTTGGATATATTCAAGTATCTTGAGTATATATGTATACGATTTGGGAAAGTATTATATTCGTTGAGTATGTGTGGGGGTATATGGGATACGGTTATGAGGCATGGAAAGATGCAAGAGCAGAAAGTCAGTTTGGAGTGCTATAAGCACTACCCTGTGTACCTCCCCTGGATTTGGAATTTGATTGTGGAAATGTGAGATACTTGGAAATGTTGGAACCCGGGGCATCCTTGACGGGATGTCGCTGTAGACCCTTAATTGGGTAGTCTGCGCGCGTAGGACGGTTTTAGGCGTACGGGTCTTGATTCTTCGTCTGTACGTGCTGGGTTAGAGTGTCAGTCCCCTAGTTGGACGGCTCATCCCTAGCCACATGGGCGTTTGAGGCCGGATACTTGTGAGCTAGTCAACAATCCCCTGTTGGATTGTTTCCCCTGGTACATGATGATGGTGAGAGGTGGGTGTTATTATATTACTTATATATATATATATATATATATATATATATATATATATATATATATATATATATATATATATATATATATATATATATATATATATATATATATATATATATATATATATATATATATATATATATATATATATATATATATATATATATATATATATATATATATATATATATATATATATATATATATATATATATATATATATATCACTATGATGGTTTTTAGTGAATCGGTTTTATGCATGGTTTTCTAAACGGTGGGATTATATTACTTTGTTTTAATTGGAACTAAACTTTGTTTCGTCCACTCATAATTTTCTGTTTTGTGCCCCACAGCCAGTAGTTGACTAGAACGAGTAGCAGAGCTGTGTCGTGTGCTCCTGAATCGCGAGCTTCAGTACACTGAGCCTTCGTAGAGTTTCTGTACTCTGTAAATTTGTTAAACTTTCTTTTGTTGGTTTGTTGAATTCTGTTAGATATGCTCTGTTATTGCCCTGTTAGGATTTGTTTTGTGAGGCCGGAGGCCATGGTTTGTAACACTATGTTTGTGTAATGCATGCTGGCTGCTGGGTTGTTAATTATTTGTGTTTGACAGGATGGAATTTTTGGGATATGTTCGGTTTACAGGGGAGATTTTGCCGAAATTTTGGTAGAAAGTCTCGGTTCTTAGTAAATGGGCCTGGCATCTGTAGGATGCCGGAATCATAGACGGGGTCCGTCCTGGTTTCCGAGGAAATTTGGGGCGGGTCCTGTCATTATTAGTATTTTTATACAAACGATATTCTAAATTACAGAGATGGAATTCGAATTAGGGTGCAAGGATAGGATAGGATTCGGATTCTCTACTTTGATTTTCTCTATCATGATCTGCTTGACTTTTGTGCTCCATACGCCACCTTATTAAAATTTAATCTAAGATATTAAAGTTTGACTCATCATCTTTAAAACAAAAACCCAATTTACTAATAATTAAAAAAGTAAAAAGAACTTTGCTTCATTCCTGAAAATTGAATTCGGAAGCAAAACAAAAGACTCATTATGATGAAACATTAGATTTCTACTTATTTGCATTTACGTTAGGTCTCAATTATCATTATTAGTATTTTTATACAAGCAATATTCTAAATTACGGAGATGGAATTCGAACTAGGGTGCAAGGATAGGATTCGGATCCTCTGCTTTGATTTTCTCTGCCATGATCTGCTTGTCTTTTGTGCTCCACACGCCACCTCATTAAAATTTAATCTAAGAAATTAAAGTTTGACACATCATCTTTAAAACGAAAACCCGATTTACTAATAATTAAAAAAGTAAAAAGAAAAGACCTAACTCAACTAACGCTAAAGTTTTCCTTCTTCCTGCGTCTCTGCCTCAAAATCTTACCTGTCAACAAGTTTTCCCATATCAATTGTTTGAAGAGTGGGTGGTTTAAAAAAAATTCCTATTGATTGTTTTGCTGGATAAAAAAGAAATCATGTTTCAAGACCTGAATTCCGGATTTGATTGATGACATGCTCTTCTCTCTCTTTTTTTGTCTCTGCTACAATTGGTCCCTTCTACATGCTTTTCTATTTTTTGTTTTCTTCCTATCTCTGCAACAATTCAAAACTCCCCTCTTTCTCACCGAAACTAATTGCTTTTATGTATGGTTTTGAATTGGATTTCAAAGTTGTGGTATGATCAGCAGTAAAGACTCCAAGGATGCTGAACTAAAAAAGGAGGATGGGGCAGAGGGGGAGGGTAGGGGGAGACGGATGGGGAGGTGGAGGGGGCAGGGGCAAGCGTAGGGATGTAGTTTTTGTTTTTGTTTTAATCTTATATTTTCTAAAATATTAATTTTCTTCACAAATGTTTTATGGATTTTAAGTTTTAAAATTTCAATTTCAATTTTAATTAATATATTTTCTGAAAAATGGGGTAAAGTAAGACAAGTTTGTATAAAATATAAGGTAAAGTGTGACAAAAGAGTTTCATGGGGCAAAGTGAGACTCAAATACACTTTTAAGGGGTATATAAAAAAATAACCCTTTTTGTTATAGTAAAAACTACTAAAAATTAAGTGGACAAAAGGGGAAAGGGTAAATCACGACCCTATGAATATTTTAAATCATTTAATGGAGTTATATTTAATATATTATATAATCAAAACAATATTCTCTAGTATTTCATTTATATTTTACATTTACTTCTATTAATATGTTTGATTAGATTAAATCTAAAGATAAATGTTTAATATTTTATTATTATATTTTTTTCATTATCAAAACCAATCATCCAATCAAATATCAATTGGATCGGATTGGATTTTAACATCTAATATGATGGGATTGGATTGAAAAAATACAATCCAATCTATATTGGATCGGATGCGAGTTGACTTAATTGTATTCGTTTCGAACCAATGTACACCCTTATGGGTGCTGCATATGTTTTATTTTTCTCTTAACTTTCATGATTAGTTTTATTTTTCTTAGAAATAAGTATATAGGAAATGACAAATTTAACTTTAATATTGACGGAGAAGTGGATGAAATGTTAAGGAATTTATCAATACGGGGCATTGGCCAAAAAAATTCATTTGTATTCTTAAATGACTAAATAAAAGTACAGGAGGAATTCAAAAATTAGGTGATATTTCAGGGGCAATTATGCAGTTTACTTTTTAAGTAATTATGATAACATCTTGATTATATATATTTTTTATTATGCAAACGATATTTTATTTTAATCTGATCTAAACTACAAGGAGGGGGATTGGAACTAGGGTCCAAAGTGAGGAGCATGTCTATTTTTACCAATTTGGCTAAGTCCATGTCTGCCAAAAAGAAGGAGAATTTAACACGAGCACTAAATAGCTAAAATATATATTCCCGACAATGTTTTTCTCCCATAAAATCTTAATCACCAAATAATTTAAAATTTTATGAATCTAGATCACTATAAAGTATAGTACATCAAATTATTACCTATAGAGCATATACACAAACATATCATCATGTATCCGATTTTGCTGAATTGACCGATTTCCGAGACAATTTTTTCTTCTTCATGTTTTCAAACTTAAAAGTATCACTCAAAATGTATTTGGTTTTGTAAAGTACCAAAATCCACCCAATTTTATGAATAGATATTTATAAATAAACCCAATCCTAGATATGTATTTATAAAAAAAAAAACCCAAACACTATTTAAACATAGAAACACACCCAAAATCAACCCCAACAATTGTATATTTTTTGGGTGTGTTTATAAATGGTTTTGAGTGTGTGTAATGATGGGTTTTGGGTGTGTTTATAAAGTGTTTTGGGTGTTGGGTTTTTCTATAATTTCAGCCCATATTTTGGGTGTTTTAGTGAAACTCCCTATAAAAATATGGGCGACAAAAAAATACTGAACAACAAATTTATTTGATAACTAATTTTAGTTTTTAAAAAAATGGAAAATTGTTTAAAAGTATATTTAAAAGTCGGAACTGGAGTGCAATGTATGTTTTTTTTGTTTTTTTATTAAAGTGCGATGGATGTTTGATAATGTAAATTTGGTGAAAAAGAAAGGGTGACAAAAAAAAAACGAAAACTTCAAAAAATAAAAAAAAAAACACTTTAAACTTGTTTTAAAAAATAGGGGTGATTTTAAAAACTGGTTTTCACTTAAAAAAACAGAAGACGAAAATTGTTACCGAACATAGTTTCGGTTTCAGTTTTTTTTTAAAAAGTGAAAATAAAAATTGAAAACTTAAAAAGGGGCTTTGTATTCCAGTAATCACGTAATTAAGGAGATCATATTCCAAGGAAATCACTGATTACCTGTCTTCGAGAACCCCGGCACACAAATTCGCAGCTTCAGTAAGAGCCTTTCTCCACTCCTTTACCACCTCATCTTTACGTCGGATGGTATGTTTCTGAAAATCAGATGCCAAAGTACCAGTCTGATGCCTGACGTCTGAAGGATCCACATTGTAGAATATTGGCAAAACAATTTGATTCAGTGTTCTTCTACACTCCATGATCTTCACCAGCTCATCAAGACACCAACTGGAATCTGCATACCTCGTTGAGAAGACAATTACAGAGATATTGGACTTTTCGATTGCCTTCAACACTTCTGGTTTTATAACTTGCCCTACTTGTAGATCGTCCTCGTCCATAAAAACATTGTATCGCCTGCTTTCTAATGCCTTGTGAAGGTGGGACGTGAAGCCCTTGCGCGTGTCTTCACCTCTGAAGCTCAAGAATATGTGGTACTCCCAACGTTTTGATGAGAAGGATGGTGAGGATGAAGAGGAGGCTCTATGGGCTTTCCTGGCATCCATTGATACTGGTTCAGATCAGACCAACTACAAATTAATACTGCCTTCCGATCCGACTTGAGCAGAGGAAGTTATCTCATAATTAATTATTCTTTTCTGGGCAGTGGGTTGGCCTTGGACGGCTTGAGCAGAGCAGATGAATATATTATCGAACTACCCAAAGTCAGGGGTCGCTCTCTGTGGATGCTGGCTTGGACGGCTAAGATTGAAGGTCAGGAAAATGCAAGGAAGCTTGGGGAAAGAGGCGTGAAAAGAGAGGGAAGAGGCGAGCACAATGTCCAATAAAAAAAGACAAAGAAAAAAGAAGAAAAATACAAGTCTTGTGAAGGGGAACATTGAGAATAAAAGTCAATTCGAGTCCTTCATTTTTTATTAAAAAAAATAGAGGGGTAAATTAATTATTAGGTATAAGTTCGGGGATAATTTGATGAAATACCCTACATAATAAAAGCATCGACATGATCAATTTGCCCTCATTTTTAGGACTCGAATGTTAAAAATATGACGACAAATTATAAACAGAGGGGTGAGACCCACCCCCTCCACCTCCGCCTCTCCCTCTTGCCCGCTACCCTCCCAATGTTAGACAAAGCTTATTGTTCGGTTCATTTTTACACATGATTTTTCATGTTATTCACCAACTATTTTGAGTTAGTTCTTAACATTTTATAGCTTTTTACTTCCTCTTTGTGTTTTCTTAGATTTTACCTTGGTTGGAATGAAAATGAGCTAAAAGTGCATTATTGGTTATAAATTCTGTTTTTGTTCATTTTCGTAGGTCAACTTCTTGGCCTGGGATCAACATGCTCTGGTGCTCGGATGAGGTGAAGATCTTCATGAAACTTGTTCCAATGGATGTTAACTACAACATATCCAAATTTGAGCTCCATTGGACAAGTATTGCCTATCCAACGAATCTAGCATGTTACCACAGCTCTGGAAATCCGAAGTAGTCCAGCTTTTACCTCCAATGTGTCACTTGATTCTTCTTGTTACCATAACACTTGGTAACAAGAATTTACCTTAGT